TATATTATATATTGTATGTATGTATGTATGTATGTATGTATGTATACATATATACATATATATATTGAATAAAAACCTCTCTGACAGGGACTCGCCGTTGCAGGCAGGTAACTGCAAGACGGTGGCTCTATTTATTCGTCATATCAATGTGGTAGTTCATTATTCCATCTTTCAATATATTATTATTATTATTATATGTATATATATATATATATATGTATATATATATAATATATATATACATATATATATATAATATATATATATATGCACATATGTGTACGTATATATATATATATATATTTATATATATATATATATATATATATATATATATATATATATATATATATATGTATACATACATATACGTATGTATATAGATACATACGTTTATATATATATATATATATATATATATATATATATATATATATATGTGTGTGTGTGTGTGTGTGTGTGTGTGTGTGTGTGTGTGTGTGTGTGTGTGTGTGTGTGTGTGTGTGTGTGTGTGTGTGTGTGTGTGTGTGTGTGTGTGTGGTGTGTGTGTGTATTCATATATATATATATATATATATATATATATATATATATATATAAATATGTGTGTATGCATATATATGTACATATACATGCATACAAATATATATATATATATATATATATATATATATATATATATATATATATATATATATATATATATATATATTATATATGAGAGTAGAGAGGGAGAGAGAGAGAGAGAGAGAGAGAGAGAGAGAGAGAGAGAGAGAGAGAGAGAGAGAAGAGAGAGAGAGAGAGAGAGAGAGAGAGAGAGAGACGAGAGAGAGAGAGAGAGAGAGTCCCGCACTTAGGCCTTTTCCCCAGCGTCGGCGCTACCAGCCCCTCTGCAATCACACACATCCCGGACAGTAATAACAGATCAGCAATTTACTTCACAAATCATCAACCACCGTCTGACATGCGGCAATTTTGGCGTCCTCCGCTACTTAACAACCAAGGTTGTACATGTAAAGTATAAATGTATGAACAAATACACTTAAAAACACGCCTAGAATATGCAAACTACTCCGTTTGTTAAAAAGAAAACGCGTGGAGACACAGTCAGAGGGCAGCCATGATAGCCTGTGAAATCACCAAGGAAATGTCGGGAAAAAAGACGAAGAATCCCATTCCCTCTTTTTAAATTCTTTCTCTTCTTCTTCTCCTTCCTTTCTTTTCTTTCTTTCTTTTTAAGCCGAAATTCCCTTCAATTCATGCTGAATCTCCCGAAATTTTCCGCCAATATTCCGAGATTTTGCGAGCGCGGGATCACACGTTTGAAATATCGAAGGTTAACCGACCCATGGAGTTCACATATTCACATTGATGGCCTGAGTATAATACAGATTTTTTTTTTTTTTTTTTTTTTTGACGTTGGTGGTAATAGTGTTGTTGATCATATACTGTAGCAGTAATACGTATGACGTTGATAATAATGATATTGATGGTGATGATGATAGTAGTTGTGGTGGTGTTGGTGATGGTGGTGAAGGTGGTGGTGCTGAAAGGAGGAAGACGAGGAGGAGGAGGGAGGAAAGTGACGGAGAAGAGGAAGGAGGAAGAGGGAGAGAAGGGAAGGAGAGGGGAGGCGAAGAGAGGAAAGGAGAGGGAAGGAGGGGAGAGAAGGGAAGGGGAGGAGGAGAGTGGGATGGGGGAGGTGGTGGAAGTGATAATGGTGGTAAAGATAATAATAACAAGGAATAATGATAATAATTATTATCATACAAGGCTGTTAGCATTTATTGTCATTATTCATTCATTACTTTTAATATTACAATCATTATTTATTGTTCATTTATTAATTACGTGATTATCATTGTAACCATTATCAGTATTACTAATATCCTCATTATCAATATCATTATTATCAATTTCATCATTATGATCATTATCATTCTTATCATTATCATTATTATTATTCATTTATCACATTACTGTCATTGCATTCAATATTCATTACTAATCATTATCATTATTATACCATTATCATTTATCACTATTCAGCATCATTATATTATTGTCATTGGCCATCAATATTATTAATATCATTATCATTATTAACATCAACATTACTATCACTGCAGTTATCTCTGATATTAATATTCCCATTATTTTTATTATCATTTTTATGATTTCATTATTTCTTATAGGTATCATTTTTATCATTTTTTCATTATCAGTATCATTATCATTTTCATTATAGTTAATATAGTTATTTTCACCACTATTATCATTACTAACAATATTATTATTATCGTTATCTTTAATATCGTTCTTCCATTATCAATTATCATTATTAGTATTATCATTGTGACTATCATTATCATTATTATTATCATTGTTATCATTATTACCACATTTAATTATTATGAATCATCTCATCATTATCATTTAACATTATCATTATCATTGTCATTTATTTGTTATCATCATCATATTTTATTATTATATCATTATTATTATATTATTATCTATAATAATATTATTAATATTATTATTATTATATTTTTTCATAATCATTATTCATTGTCATTATGATTATTACTTATATCTCATCATCCAATATCATTATCATCATTATCCTACCAACCAACAAAAAAGAAAACACATAAACAACAAACGGTTACCTACACCACCGTTACAATAAGAGCGACCAACAGCAAAACATAAAACATAGCACCAACACGATGATGACAGACCCCCCCCTCCCCCCCAACACCACCCCAACCTCAATTAACCGCCGGCTGGGCTTCCCGTGGGACAACTCACTCGTACTGCGCGAAACAATAGCATAATAACGGATTGGTGAAATTCCAGTGCAACAATCATCAACGCTTTTTAATCGTACTGACTGAAACTTCCGGCCACAACCGATAACTTTTCTTTTGGCCAATTGCTGTTGGGTTTTGTTTATTTTTTTTTCCGGGGAGGGGGAGCGGGGGGGGGGATTTTGTTATTGTTTGTACGTGATCGTGTGTGTGTGTTTGTGTGCGCGCGCATACGTACTAAGTGTGTAACATCTGTGTTAATATTTATGAGTGCGTGGTGCGGTTTTGTGTGTATGCTTGTTCAATTCCATAGCTGTTCCCTTGCTTATGCATACATACATGCATCATATAGATAGATAGATAGATAGATAGAGAGATAGCAGGATATAGTTAAGGCAACGATTACACGATAGATATGATAAATGGGGAGAGAGATTATAGTTTAAGCCGATACACTGATAGATAGATAGGGATCGATATTGACAGAGTTTTAGATAGATAGGCAAATTAAATAGTGATAGTAAACAGATAGATAATTAGGATATACAGATAGATAGAGAGATTTAAAATACTTAAATAGATAGATACATGGATAGATGGACAGATAGATTTTGTAGACAGATAAAGAGAAACACATTGATATGCAGATGTAGATAGATACAGATTATACATTGTATGTATGTATATATATATATATTATATGTATATATAATATATATTGTATATTATAATATACATATAATATATATAATATATATATTTATATATATATATATATATATATATATATATATATATGTGTGTGTGTGTGGTTGTGTTGGTTGTGTGTGTGTGTGTGTGTGTGTGTGTGTTGTGTGTTGTGTGTGTGTGTGTGTGTGTTTAAATGAAAGTAATTCACGTCTAATTGAACATCAATTTCACCCTTAAGTACGAAGGCGCAAAATCCGAACTAAATCACACATTCCATGTCAAGAATATCGTACGATCTTAATAAAAAAAAATCAATTTCAGCTCCTGAAATCGAGCGACATATTAGCGCTGTCCACAAGCCACTTCATCCTTCCACACAAGACACACTACCCAGAAGCTACTCCAGGGACCTGACAGTGACCCAACATCACTTTGACCTCTGCTATCACGTCTACCTAACCGCCCACCGGCTCAGGGCCCGCCCACCAGTTCAACATGCGCAAAATCAATATACCACGCCTTTAAAAAGAACTTTCCTAAGATATTACAGCCACTACAGAGCCCTCCCCGGTCCTCTTTTCATTCCAGTATCACTGCAGGAACGTCCCATGCATTTGGCCACACAGAAATCGGCTAACGATACCATGAAAACGGCCTATTGGCACTGGCGACCTAGGCACTGCTCCTGAGGCATCATCCCCCCCATCTCGTCCCCTTCAGCTGGCTGGGAACGGAGGCAGCGTCTCTCGAGGGGAACTAAAATGTTTCCCCTCGTAATATCACAAAAACGCCAGGGCATTCTCATGACACACGCCCTCTACAGTATCACCTTCACATCCTTGCTGGTGTTCAGGTTTACACGACCACACAAAGCGTCCACACACACGAAAAATGAAGATGAAGAGTTTGCAGTTCCTCCGCATCGTAGTAAGAGGTCCTCGCGACACGGAGTCTGGACCAACACTGAGTGGCATTAGGTGCGAGTGCCACTTGGTGCCTCCTTTCCCTCGACCTTACAGAATGGATTTATTCGTGTTTTTGTGGAAAATTACATTGTTTTTATTCCATTTTCTTTTCATCTGATTCATAATTATTTATCAAAAAATAGAAAACAAAAACGAATCAAGTACTTACAATAGTTATAACTTATGTATTACTGTCTATCCAACGAAACCCGAAATGACTGGTAATCTGAATATATTAACATACATTTATGTTATCTCCTGTACATGAAAAACACGAATATATTTACCGTTAACAAATATTCCAAACTGAAGAAGTTTTAAAAGGATAACATTTTGACCCTTTCAGATGTTCGCTGTGACAATAACGCTATAATCAGATATATTATTTAATATTAGATCCTTTAACAAATTTGATGGTACGTTTTAAAAAATCACCACATTAATATGATGATAATTTAGTATAACGTAATAATTCACCAACCAGGCTCATATACTGTTGAAAGGAACACCTACAAGACGTGGAAATCTCCGTCAAAATACCGACCAAAGACGTAATGTTTTGGTCGAGTTGGAAGTTTTCAATGTCATATATATCCCTTTTAGCGACATTTTTAACGATTTTAACAATTTCTGGAGGGTTTGTCGGAAATGTCCACTAGCATTACACTTCAAGAGGACATTAAGAATGCAAGAATACCTGGAACATCGTACATTTCTGGTAGGAATGAGATCTGTTGACGTTTACCTTGGTTCGTGGAGGTTAAAATATGGTAGTTTGGATCATAGTATTTTCAATATAGATTAGCTAGGTATTGGTTGTTTGGATTTGTTTTTGTAAAAATAGTACAGGTGGAGAAATGAAATGACTGTCAAATGCCTTATCTTTGGTATAGGAATGTTACAAGATTGTAGTTTTTTTTTCATAGTGTAGCTGACCGGCTGCCGGTCGCTGATTTGTTAGAATAGATCATTTGGAGGTAATTTTTCACAATACCTTCATATACCTGATTACTACGATTTTGGTTTTAATGGATTCCTCTCAACCTCTTAAACACATTTATGCAAGATTTATGCCACTGAATCCCCCCAAACCCCACATTCGTGGCCCGATAGCAGGGGAGGGTATGAAAGGGTACCAGGGGAATTGCAGGGTAAAGTAACAAACAGACCATATGCAGTATGATATATTATATATATATTATATATATATATATATTCCTTTTCCCTCTCCCTCTTTCTTTCCTTTTCCCTCTCCCTCTTCTTTTCCTTTCCCTCTCCCTCTTCTATTTCCATTTCCCTCTCCCCTCTCCTTCTCTTTCTCCTCTCCCCTCTTTCTCCTTCCCCTTCCTCTCCCTCTCCATTCCCTCTTCTTCTCCCCTCTTCCTCTCCCTCTTCCTTCTCCCTCTCTCTTCCGTCTTCCTCTCTTCCCTCTCCCTCTCCCTCTCCCTCTCCCTCTCCTCTCCCTCTCCCTTCTCCCTCTCCCTCGTCCCCTTCAGCTGGCTGGGAACGGAGGCAGCGTCTCTCGAGGGGAACTAAAATGTTTCCCCTCGTAATATCACAAAACGCCAGGCATTCTCTGCACTCACGCCTCTACAGTACTCACCTTCACATCCTTGCTGGTGTTCAGGTACACGACCACACAAAGCGTCCACACACACGAAATGAAGATGAAGAGTTTGCAGTTCCTCCGCATCGTAGTAAGAGGTCCTCGCGACACGGAGTCTGGACCAACACTGAGTGGCATTAGGTGCGAGTGCCACTTGGTGCCTCCTTTCCCTCGACCTTACAGAATGGATTTATTCGTGTTTTTGTGGAAAATTACATTGTTTTTATTCCATTTTCTTTTCATCTGATTCATAATTATTTATCAAAAAATAGAAAACAAAAACGAATCAAGTACTTACAATAGTTATAACTTATGTATTACTGTCTATCCAACGAAACCCGAAATGACTGGTAATCTGAATATATTAACATACATTTATGTTATCTCCTGTACATGAAAAACACACATATATTTACCGTTAACAAATATTCAAACTGAAGAAGTTTAAAAGGATAACATTTTGACCCTTTCAGATGTTCGCTGTGACAATAACGCTATAATCAGATATATTCTTTAATATTAGATTCTTTAACAAAATTGATAGTACGTTTTAAAAAATCACCACATTAATATGATGATAATTTAGTATAACGTAATAATTCACCAACCAGGCTCATATACTGTTGAAAGGAACACCTACAAGACGTGGAAATCTCCGTCAAAATACCGACCAAAGACGTAATGTTTTGGTCGAGTTGGAAGTTTTCAATGTCATATATATCCCTTTTAGCGACATTTTTAACGATTTTAACAATTTCTGGAGGGTTTGTCGGAAATGTCCACTAGCATTACACTTCAAGAGGACATTAAGAATGCAAGAATACCTGGAACATCGTACATTTCTGGTAGGAATGAGATCTGTTGACGTTTACCTTGGTTCGTGGAGGTTAAAATATGGTATTGTGGATCATAGTATTTTCAATATAAATTGGCTAGGTATTGGTTGTTTGGATTTGTTTTTGTAAAATAGTAGAGGTGGAGCAATGAAATGACTGTCAAATTGCCTTATCTTTGGTATAGGAATGTTACAAGATTGAAGTTTTTTTTTCATAGTGTA